TTCCATCTATGGCTTGTGCACGTCCTCCTGGCGTAGGATTTTGTAAAGAATCCAATAGAAAATATTGAAAAACAGGAAGGTCAGTGGGAATCCGGCACGGGACACAGTGTCAATCTTCTTGGCTCGGTCGATGAAGAGTTTTCTCATCTCCTCATGACTCTTGCCGGCAGTAAGTACTGGGACAGAGGGTGTTGTGGCCGCAATATTAGCAGCTTTGGGCACAGCTCCGTCTTTCCCTGCATTAGGCGTGAAGTTCAACCGGCTCTCGCGCACATCCTCCTCCTTAGAAAAAGGAAAGGATACAGAAAGAGAAGGAATCAAGACTCTAGTACTCCTACATTCACAGAACCTGTTACTTCCCTTATAGGAAATTGTGGGATATAAGATAATAATGTGAACAATAAATTACAGTGTTAGCGCTTTAAGTTTTATAATGTCCTTAACATTTGTGTGTTTCTGCCTAACTACTGCCCTGCTAGCCTGCAAATGTTAACACAGTCAAATCGGTAACAAAAATGTGAAAACATTCACAAGATCAAGATCATTCACATTCTGTTTTGTTGTCAACAATGATTTCAGACAAATAAAGAAGACTTTAGTGGAATAAGGAAAATTATTTTGGTAGAACATGAAATCAAACCCATAAAACACAAGTATACTTATTTATTATTTTTCTTTTTTTCCCACTAATAATCCATAAAGACATTCACTGGAACTGAACAATTGAGTAAGCATGCTGAGATTCCCATTCGAACATTCTCTCCCGTTGCGTTGACACACTTATGGGGAAGCTCCTGTTTACTCTGATACTGAAGCCTGATTTGTTCATGTTCGTGTAGCAGCACGAACCAATGGAGCTTCAACCTGCCAAAAGGGGTGGAGCTGACCTCTATATAAGTCAGCTCTGAGTGCCATTTCATCAGCATTTTTTCCTCTCCTCGCTGACTCTGCAAACAAGAAGCCGAAGAAGCTCAGCTCAGCCTGCTGCTCTCCGCCGTAGAAGAAACTCCCGGCAGCTAAAGAAGCCAGAAGCCTTCCCCTGCAGCCATTTGACACACTAAGAGCAATTTCTGAGCAAATTTCCAGAGACGTTGTTGCAAATGTCGCGCCGCGAGTGTGGCTCTTGCAGGGATGCAGACGGGTACAGTGAGTGCATCACCT